AAAAAAATCAGGTTAGTCCAATGCGCAAATATTCTAGAGTTAAAAAAACGGGTTCTTCCAGTCCTATGGCTGCTATAATAAGTGTTACCCTTTCTTCCTATTCATATCTTTTCAAGTGGTCCTTCTCTTACAACTTTAAACTGTCTGATCTGGCCTTGATCTTCACGTCTTGAATTCAAGTTTCGGAACTTAATAGGTAGCCAGTGCAGAGACTGTAAAATTGGGGTAATATGATCATATTTTCTTGACCTGGTAAGGACTCTAGCCGCTGCATTTTGGACTACCTGTAGCTTGTTTATTGAAGATGCAGGACAACCACCTAGCAGTGCATTACAATAGTCCAGTCTAGAGGTCATGAATGGATGAACTAGCTTTTCTGCATCAGAAACAGGTGAATGGCTGGTTTCTACAGTGGTTGTTGTGTGTGTGCTGTTTGCTCTCAGCAGTGATGTAGCACGTCACCATTTAGTTTCAATAAAAACACAGCTGTACTAAAGTACGTCCTGACTCTTTTATCACAGGAAAGAAAGCAGTGAAGATATGAACAAAAGAAAATGCTTTCACATTCTGTCTGAGAAGGCATTTACAAATCATGCAGAATAGAGAATGGCATTTTGATAGAGTGCTCCAGCAAAACCAAGAAATCACTGGTGTTCACAATTGCATCTGGCACAGGGAACTTGGCAAGGCCTTCTAACATCACAATTAATTGGTCTCATCCTGCAACAATCTAATTTGTTACTGTGACACGAAGCCGTTAACGATAAAGAGCGGTGACAGGGTGATCAGTTAGGCTTGTCTCTCCCTGGCCTGTTCACTTCTGTTTGGAAACTCTCTTGATTCTGTTCGTTTAGTCCCACCGGGAGCTGGATTAATCCTTACGGTGGAGTGGAGTGTATGAGAGTGGAAGACTAGTTTTCATTTCCATGCTGGAAGGACACACTGTCCCTGCCGCACCCAGCCCGCTGACTTCTTTCACACCTGCTGATGAATGACGACGCCCTTGGTTTTCATATCAGCTGGAAAAAGGATACACCCATGAAAACTGTATTGCTCAGAGGTTGCACTTTCATAATTCAGTAGGCTTAACGGTTACACACTGTTACAACACACTGAGCTGTGTGCTCATGTGGAGCTCCAATGACAAAATTCCTGGGAGAAATAATAGCATAGGAGCAAATGAGACAATCGTTCCAAATTATGGAACGGCCTACCTTTATCTATTAGGATAATCCCTACAGAATCTCTGTTT